AGTACTACTAAGGATGCTTCAAAACATAAATAAAAAGTTAAATACAACATAACAAAGTAACTACATATAAAAAAAAATGGACATGTTGTCCGATGCAAATTGTATAAACATGACTAGCCTTATGATTCATCAAGACACATTGTAAAGTGTAGTCAATTTGTGTTTCAAGATGTTCGCCTCAATATAGGAACACTTATAGGTAAGAGTTTATTAAAATCATATTGATTTGTTTCCTGGTCTATTTGCTACAAATAAATATTTCGAATAATTTTACCATTCACCTTGCCCAAAGTCTCGACAGATGTCAATTACAATGTTGATAGACACATTTGTGCTATAATCAGTGTCCATAATAACAGTACTGTACCACAATACATTAACTATTATGAATAACCAGTTCACATGTATCAATCATTTACTCATTGCCCTGTACACATTCAGATTGATCGAAACGTGAGCGAGTATATTTAAAATGACAAATTAATTATTCATTTTTAATTAAAGTATATACATAGTATGTATTAAAAATTAACATTTTCTTTTCGGAACGGCAATGCAAAATAAGAAACTATGTCTATTTACCAGTAAGGACTGTATACATGTTACTATGGACCTATGAAATATCCACCAAATAATGTAAACTATAGTTTATAGTTAGGTTAGAAACACAATATTTATATTAGTTATTGCAATATCAAAATCAACCTGGTTACATTTGTATAAATATATTTTGTTATCAGTCTGAAGTTTCAAAAAAACAATGCCTATTAGCCTTTTTCAAATTCAACTATCATTTAAATAATTATGTTTTCATTGCTTACATGCTTATCAAACACAAAAGTCTTAATACCCGGAAGTCTTGAAATTATTTTCTATCCATATGATTGCATTGAGCCAAGGCTTCTTGTTCATGTATTGTGGCAAACTTATTCAATCATATCTTTTTATATTGACCTTACTTACTACTTGATAAAGGTTTATGATCAATATATACTATAATAATTATAGAAATTTTACATTGACCTCACCTAACTGCTTGATAAAGGTTTATGATTAATATAATATACTATAATAATTATAACTGTCATATTCAGTTTATAACATTCTCTATTCAGCATGCTCTTTTCAGTATCAGAATATCTTGCAGACTAAACATGTATACATAAATACTAATTAAATCAGACAGAAACAAGGTTTATGAAAATTAAATTCAATATTAAGTAATTAAATAGGTAAAGAATAAGAGATAGATATGCTCAGTATGTAAAGCACTTGCATATGTATTCAAACTTTTTTAACATTTGGTGCAGACTTACTTTTTGTTTCATATTCATCATAAAGGTCAACTCTAACTCTTATTTTACCCTGTGCTTTAGCATACACATGGCAATTGTAATACCATGCTGATTCAACATAATCTTTAGCCTTTAATTCCTTAATCAATTCGGTGTTCAGTTTTGTTATATCATGATGAACTGGAATGTTTGATTAAAAAAAATTTTGCCTATATTTCATAATCTTATCTTTTATTTCTGTGTTTTTAACTTTCGTGATAACAGGCTTTGGTTTGTTTTTATATTTTGTTGGCAATGGATGAAGGGCTATAATATCAGATGTGTTTACATAATAACTTGTTAGGAATCGTTCACAGATAATATAAACCTTCAAATAATGCAAATCCGATTAAACCCTGATCCCGAAAAGAACTTTTATAGAGAATTTTGTCATTTCAAGATGGCGGATGATCTAAAACTTCCGAGACGAATTTTATCATTTCAAATCTTTTATATAAACAATTCTAGCATGTTGCAAAAAGAATTTTTCAAATATCTATAAAATTCTGGAAGTTGAAATTTAACGTTTACAAGCATATAGCGCCAGAACCAGAAGTGATATTAAACTTTTAAAAATTGATCTTAGTTTGCAATCAAAATATCAATCTACCTGTAGAATAAAATAAAAATTTAAAAATCAAAAAGTTAGTGTCAAAAGTCAAAATTTTAAATTTGGCATTAAAAACCTTTGGTTATATATAGTAAGAAAGAGCACAAAAAGTCCATTCAGAATCTGAAAACAATAACCATCTATTTTAATTAAGTCACATGATAGAGCAGTCCAAAGTTGAAAATTGTGCTGTCTTTGGACAGCTATAAAACCGGAAGTAGAAATCGTAGATCAAATATAACAGTATCAACCGATAGTCAAGGTCAATGACCTTTAATTCTGTAGAGGACAATGTGACCCAAGGTCACCAGATATGTGCCTTCAAACAAAACCGAAATTCAAAAATCGGCTCCTCACATTTTTCTGCTCTTTCATTTGACACCAAAATCATCATAATAGGATGAGCCATTATCTCTAAATAAAATTTGGACGTATTTCAACAAAATGCAAATGGCGGCCAAAATATCAATTTTCGAGTCTAGTAAATGCCTCTGTAAAAGTCGTTCGATGGAATGCACTGCAAAAAAAAAAATGTATTTAGATCTTGTTAAAATATATATGCCTTGTCAACTAAGCTGAGACTATCTACTATACAGCTCCCCATTTCCCTTTTTATAATGGGCACAATTAAGGCCAATTTTCTTTTCAAAACAGATACAAGTTTTATGTTATTAAATTATTCTACATTATTGAGAATATAGCGGAAAAGAAACCAGTTTTCACTAAAGGTGTTGGAATCGTGATTTTTATGATTTAAAGATAGAAAATATTCAGAGTCTATTTGTGAATTAATGTAAATAATCATGTTCTGGATAGTTGGCTTCCTGTCTTGGTTTTTACAGAGGTATATATAATATTTTACAATTAAAGACACATTTATTTCTAGATTTGAGTTTAATGGGTAGCTAAACACATTAAACATTTGTTTTAAAAGTAAAGTGATGTGATTCCAAAGGGTATGAATACATTTACACATAAAAAAAAGATGATCTAATGTTTCCTCCTCCTCCTGGCAAGTGCAAAGTGGACTTTGCACATATCCTATCTTAAAAAGAAAGACATTACTGTTTAATATATTATTTTGGATTTTAAATTGAAGTTCTATCATTTTAGTATTTGAAGAATTCGTCCTTTCTATCATATTTATTGTTTTACAATCCATTTCTTGATTAAATCTATTTTCCCATTTTAATTGACTTATATTTTCTACTGAATTATTTTCTATTAAAAGATCATATATATGTCTACTGCCAGTTTGTTTAAAATGAACTTTATGATATATTGAGAGATGTGGGCCATACATTTTTGTAGGTTTTATAAAATCGCATTTATATACTTTTTTGTCTGTTAGAATAATTCTTTCGTAGTCAAGGAAATTTCCATTACACAATCTAAATATACGTTTTATATCGTTAAATGAATACATTTCACCACTCTCATTAAAAAGATCTAAATTTGAATGCATCCCTTTATCAAACCATTCTTTAACTAGAGCTGTGAACAGCATTGAGCGTGGCCCGTGATACTTTGCCTTATAGCTGTAAGACTTTTTGAACTTCAAACCCTCTCAAGCCCACTTTTAGTAAAGAGCCAAGCTAAATTAAATGTTTTGTGAAAGGGTAAATTCAATCCTGTATCAATATAACTTATCGTATGGTTATTTTAATAGCTTCATGGTAGCTATAATACACAGGTATGTGTGAAATGTGAACATTATGCGACGGAATTTCTTTACTGATATAAACATGATCTATAAGTGTCCCACCTTCAGTAGTGTAATGCTGAACAAATTGTTGAAAACCAAATTTTTGAAAACAATTAGTATAGACAAATGACCCTCCAAGATATTTTGGTTGAAATCCCCCATAATAACATAGTCTGAACCAGATTCTTGTAATTCAACTAATAATCTTTCTAACATTGGGAGAAATAAATCTAATCGATAAACGGGTGGTCTATAGATAACAATTACGTTAATATTTTTATCCAAAATATGAAGATAGCTTGCCAGGCAAGGTAATATACGCCCACTGAAAGCTTTGTTTGAAATTGAATATTTGTTAGAAAATAGCAAACATAGACACCAGGAAATATTCAACTTATACCCAAATCCATCACAAACTGTGCCATCACAAGTTAAAAATCAAACACATTTGTAAAAATAACGGCAATAACTTGTATTTTATATTTCAAAAGGTTTAGTTTTGATTGTGATCAATTCCATCAAGTTGTCAAATTTGTTTTAGACTTCTGCTTTGTAGAATAAAATT